CTTGCAGTTTAATCCAGTCATTCTTCTTCTTATTATTATTATTATGTTGAATTGAAAATGGAAACAATAAAGAATCACAAACCCTGTAGTTTTTCATTCCCTTCTCACTGACTACAATGTAAAAGATAGACACCAAAAGGAACACACATATTTAGAGGAGAAAGGAAACCACAAAGGAAAAAAACCTTAGTGTTAGTATTCACGTGGACAGATGTAAAGACCTGCTGTTGCAGTTTCCTTCCTACTTTTAGATTTCGTTCAGACCTTTGCATGAAAAGCTGTAAGTCACAAAGGTCTGGTGTTTTCAAATGCTGCTTACATGCAATGGTAAGCATCCTAGGAAGATCTTTACAACTGCATCCTATCAGGGGCGGACTGACAACTCATGGGGCGCCCGGGCAATAGGGGATCATGGGGCCCCTGTGTCCTTGGCCAAACTCAAAAAAGCCTATGAAAAAGGTACCAGGGGCATCTCATGGAGGTCTCTACTGACCCCGGGCCCTCGGGCAGTGCCCGAGTTTCCAAATGGTCAGTCCGCCCCTGCATCCTACTGGAAGCACATCCAAACAGTTGTATTCAGCAGTACGGGAGTGAAAAGCCAAATGACATTCACCACCAGGACTGCAAAAAGCTTGATTCCCAAACAGAAGCTGGAAAGCTATGCTTAACTCTAGATATTAATGGCTGTCACACAATTCTATTCATCCCAACTGCAAGGGACATTGCACATCTGCATTCAACCTCAAATCAGCAGACCAAATATGCATCGGTTGCATTTTTCCATCTGCTAAATGGAGGACCTGTGCTATCATGTGGTGTGCCCAGTAGTAACTTTTCATAAATATTTATATATACAGTTGCGTGTTGTTAAAGGGAAAGCTGTACAGGTATGAAGATCAGCCCTGTATTGGGGTTTCTTGAAAGGTTTTTGTCTGAGCTGGTATCACCTTCCCCCTGCTGGACATGTTACTATATAGCAATTCATGATGCATAAAGCCAAGCAAGGCTTCAATGGAAATAAGAAAATATATATTTAGACTGTGCTTCAGCAGACAACTGGAATCATTTTTGTCACTTTAAGAATACTAAAAGATGATGACAAGCATGAAATTAAGTTACCCAGAGGCAGGGCCATTCTCATAGTGCTGAAACTCCTCCTCCTCCCTCCTTCCATTCTCTGCCTTTAACCAGGGAGACAGCCTATTACAACGATAGGCTAATAGGAATGTGTGAGGGTGGAGTATAGCAGCAAGCTCTAACACTGCCAACAAGGGTCAGGGGTCTGATCAATCAGAATATCCCCAACACAATACTGAAACTGTTGCGGATATGTGCAAGCACCTCTGAATGCTTCTAATTTATTTCAGCATTCTTAGGGCTTGTGTTGATGGATTTTTGTTTGCTTCAAGCAGGTTTAGCATTTCTGTACAATTCTATGGGAAGGGGAAATCTGCTTGAAGCCGATCAAATGCAAGTCGGAAAGAGGTTAACTGCAGATTGCACCTGTCAGTGGATTCGAACAATCTCAGAAGCATCTCAAACGGATGTCATCAAACAAGCCCAAAAGCCTGTTAATGCAGGCCCTTAAAGTAACAGTTATTTATACTGGAAATAAGGTAAGAATAAAATTGATATGCCTGTTCTCAAATCCCAATAGCTTGTACAAGTATATAATCCATCAGGTGTTAAAGTGGTGTGACCACGTTAACACTAGAAATTCTGGATGAACACTCTGCTATATACCCATTTTAGCAACATTTGCACTGAAAAAAATGGATTTTTCGCTAACACATACTGCAATACATCTTTAAACTGGCCAACTGTCAAAATAATCCCTCTATGGCCAATCTCTAAGGGGCAAATAGACACAAGTTGGAGGAATGCTACAGGTTCAGGTCTGGCCAGTAAACTGCAATGCAATAGAAATAAGATATACAGTGGGGAAAATAATTATTTGATCCCCCACAGATTTTGTAAGTTTTGTAAGGCCTAACTGTGTACCACATGAGTACATAGCCAGTCTGTGGGAGCCAGAATTATTGTTGGTTGGAAGGGGATCAAATACTTATTTTACTCATTGAACTGCAACTCAATATATAACATTTGTATCGTGTTTTTTCTGGATCTTTGGTTGATATTCTGTCTCTATCATTTAAAATGCACCTATGATAAAAATTATACACCCTTCATTTCTTTGTAAGTGGGCAAAATTTACAAACTCTGCAGGGGATCAAATAATTATTTTCCCAAATGTACCTGTATATGTACAATACATGTATATGCTAGGCATGTATATGTACATGTATTTAGTATTGCACCTGATGTATTATATACATTTACAAGCTATTGGGATTTGAGAACAGGTATATCTTATTTCTATTACATTGCAGGTAAGTGACCAGACCTGAACCTGTAGCTCTCCACCAACTTGTGTCTATTTGCTCCATATTGGTACTACAGTATATCCACTGTAGAGCAGGTTAGGGACTGATCATAGAGGAATTACTTTGACGCAGTTGGGCAGCTTAACCTCTTCACGCCGACAGTACGCAAATATGCAGCCTCTCGGCAGCTGGGCCTTGACGCAGAGTGGCAGCATATTTGAGTACCATTTGTAAACAAACATGTGCTGAGAGCACGCACCCTGCGTCCCATTGAAAGGTCCTGATCTCGCCTTGCTATCGGGACCTTTCCGATCATGTAACTGCCATGACAGCCAATCACGGTGGTCACATGACCCTAAACCCCGGCGTGAAGGTGTTAAACATGTTGCAATATGAACTAAAAAAAAACCTGTGCTTTCATTGCAAAGGTTTCTACAATGGGTATTTAGCAGTGTGCACAGGGTATATTCAGACTTTCTAGGTATTTATACTTGGTGCAGCTGTCCTGAAAAGACAAAGCAAAAAAAACTATTTACACTAAAAAACAAACATGGATGTCTTCTTAAAACATTTTTATTAATTCAAGATAAGGTACTAAAAAAAGAGACCCTAAGACTTGCATAGAAAATGTATGACTTCCAATTACAATGATGTGATATTTTTGTTTCCAGTAAGTAACTTTCTGAAAATATCACATAAAAGTTATCAATGCACCATCATTTTCTGTGATTATTTGTAATAAAACATAATACACACCCTGTACTGTACAAAATGTACAAAAAGATAGTGCTTAGAATGACAATGAAGGATTTCCCTTATGACACTTGGAGATTGGGCAGAGAAATGATTGCCCAAAGATGAACAGCTTTTCTAAAGTAATCTAAAAATTAGAAATGATAAAGAATACAAATACAGTAACTAAAGAATGTATTCCATTCTGATCTAACTCTTAACAAGCAATTTACATTATTTGGTATTGTACCTTCAATTGTACCTCTTCCATTTTAACACATAAAATACCATAAAGCGACCCTTCCAAATCAAAGGCTTTGTTAGTTTGGCATAATTGGTGGATAATACAGTTCAAAATTCATGACAATTACCAAAAGAGGTTTATTGGAATTGTTGGAAAATTGGCAACTATTGACCCACCATGCTGTGATCACAGAGAGGCACCTGGTCATGCTATCATAGTTTAGTAGAGGTCCTCTTGTATGATAGCCATGTTTTTTTCTTCTGCTGATACACCTTATAAATATCTGATAATTGGCTGTCAAAATGTGCTAGCAATAGCAATATCAAACACACAGCTACATGTATGCATTTACCAGTGACCATGGCTGAACTGGCTAAGCTTGCTGAAGGGAGTCTCAAGCTTTCATAGGCTCACTAAGGGGTGTACATTCTAATACCAATCTGGTTTTGGTGAATTTACAAAAAGCAGAAATACAAAGTCGGCTCAGCCCACATGGCCTATTTAAATAGTGAGTCTTCAGAGATAGATCAAGTTCAGAGACAATACCATGGCTCTGAACCTGGAAAGCACTTTGCGGCTTAATCAGTACATACAGTTCTGAAAAGCAGAGCCCACTGCCCAAAAGGTCATACTTCAGGATTGCTTTGCATGTCAAGTCCAGCATGGTACAGGTATAGTACCCCAAAGTCAGGCTTAGCATAGACTTGTTCCAGCTCCTCTGTTGAATTAATTTGAAATAAATTTAAAAACAAATCACCATATAAAAAGGTCCAAAGAAGGGGTTAAGGCCCATGAATTCAAGTGCAGAGATCTGATAAATCATGTCCATGAAATATATACAAACCTGAACCAGCTGAACTATCAGTTTTAGATCAACTGACCCTTTAAATTAAGCAATTCATTTTTGATAGAAAGACAAGGTCTACTGTACATTTGGAAAAGAGCAAAACTATTTTTGAAAACAAAGTGCTGCAAGTTTGAACAGTACATGTCGTTGTTGGTACAATTATTGCCGAGATCAACATTTCTGAAATATATCAGAATTATTGGTGCAAATACATTTGATACACAAGGATTTACACCAAGAGATACTTGACAAATACAATCAATCATTCTGGAATTATTTTTGGAGTTACCCTCACATATTTTCAATTTGTCAAAGAAATAATATTCATTTAACACCTGGGAACATGTACAACTGTCCAGTAAAAATATCAAGGATCAGAATACAGCTCCCAGATGTAATTCACAGCTTACATAATAGAGGTATGTAAAACATTTTGGTGTGCTGTGTGTAACACATGCACATTTAAACTGGTAAACATATCTCAAGATATCAGGTAGCTACAGCCCAAGTTACCCAATTTGTATTGTGTTTTTTTGTTGCTGCTTCCAGATAACAAAAAGTACAGTAGCCTAAGGATAACACAAGGAAAATGGTACAATTAACATTTTGTGTTATTCTGTTCTGCCTACCACAGAGTGGCAATTAAAATAAAAAAAATGTACTTGAGAGCTGTGCTAAGCTGAGCTCTGTACAGGATCCCTGGAGGTTTGCTCTCAGTTTGCTTTCTGCTCTACCAGGTAGATTATCAAAAGAACATAATGGAACAGCATATTTAATACATGTGGCGTCATTGTCACTCCACTAACTGAAGCACATACAGAATTCCAAGATTGTCAATGGTTACAAAAGTTCTAAAAGAAGAACATGGGAGAATTGACTTTAAGTTTGTGCCATTTGTGTAGAAGGTCTGTTTGCAGGCTCCGGAGTCCACATCCCACCACTGTAAGAAAAAAAAAATACAATTAGCAATCAAAGCGATATATATATATATATATATATATATATATATATATATATATATATATATATATATATATATATACATATACATATATACATATACAGTCATGGCCGAAATTGTTGGCACCCTTGATATTTCTCCAGGAAATCATGTATTTCTCACGAAACGTATTGCATTAACACATGTTTTGCTATACACATGTTTATTCCCTTTGTGTGTATTGGGACAAAACAAAAAAAGGGAGGAAAGAAAGCAAATTCGACATAATGTCACACAAACCTCCAAAAATGGGCTGGACAAAAGTATTGGCACCCTTTCACAACTGCGGATAAATAAGAATGTTACAAGCATGTGATGCTCCTGTAAACTCACCTGGGGCAAGTAACAGGTGTGGGCAATATAGAAATCACACCTGAAAGCAGATAAAAAGGAGAGACGTTCACTTAACCTTTGCATTGTGTGTCTGTCTGTGCCACACTAAGCATGGACAACAGAAAGAGGAGACGAGAACTGTCTGAGGACCTGAGAACCAAAATTGTGGCAAAATATCAAAACAATCTCAAGGTTACAAGTCCATCTCCAGAGAACTAGATTTGCCTTTGTCCACAGTGCGCAACATTATCAAGAAGTTTGCAACCCATGGCACTGTAGCTAATCTCCCTGGTCGTGGACGGATGAGGAAAATTGATGAAAGATTGCAACGCAGAATAGTCCGGATGGTGGATAAGCAGCCCCAAACATGTTCCAAAGACATTCAAGCTGTCCTGCAGGCTCAGGGAGCATCAGTGTCAGCGCGAACTATCCGTCGACATTTAAATGAAATGAAACGCTATGGCAGGAGACCCAGGAGGACCCCACTGCTGACACAGAGACATAAAAAAGCAAGACTACAGTTTGCCAAAATGTACTTGAGTAAGCCAAAAGCCTTCTGGGAAAACGTCTTGTGGACAGATGAGACCAAGATAGAGCTTTTCGGTAAAGCACATCATTCTACTGTTTACCGAAAACGGAATGAGGCCTACAAAGAACAAAACACAGTACCTACGGTAAAATATGGTGGAGGTTCAATGATGTTTTGGGGTTGTTTTGCTGCCTCTGGCACTGGGTGCCTTGACTGTGTGCAAGGCATCATGAAATCTGAGGATTACCAAAGGATTTTGGGTCGCACTGTAGGGCCCAGTGTCAGAAAGCTGGGTTTGCGTCCAAGATCCTGGGTCTTCCAGCAGGACAATGACCCCAAACATACGTCAAAAAGCACTCAGAAATGGATGGCAAAGAAGCGCTGGAGAGTTCTGAAGTGGCCAGCAATGAGCCCAGATCTAAATCCCATTGAACACCTGTGGAGAGATCTTAAAATTGCTGTTGGGAAAAGGTGTCCTTCCAATAAGAGAGACCTGGAGCTGTTTGCAAAGGAAGAGTGGTCCAAAATTCCGGGTGAGAGGTGTCAGAAGCTTATTGATGGTTATAGGAAGCGACTGATTTCAGTTATGTTTTCCAAAGGGTGTGCAACCAAATATTAAGTTAAGGGTGCCAATACTTTTGTCCAGCCCATTTTTGGGGTTTTGTGTGAGATTATGTCATATTTGCTTTTCTGCCTCTGTTTTATATTTGTTCCAATACATACAAAGGGAATAAACATGTGTATAGCAAAACATGTGTTAATGCAATACCTTTTTTGTGTGAAATACTTGATTTTCAGGAAAAATATCAAGGGTGCCAACAATTTCGGCCATGACTGTACATATATACACACACACACACACACACACACATATATATATATATATATATACACACATACACACACACACACAATAACATTTCACATATTCAGGTATTTATTCAACAAAAATATCAACATATACAATCATGTACTTTTGAATAGATGAATATACCCTTAGCATCACAAGCTGATATTGTCCCTCTTAGCAAAAATTACTACTTTTAGGTGTTTTACCCACAAGTCTCTGACATCTCGGTTGACACTGCTGCAAATTCCTTCAGTTGCAAAGTGTTTGTAGGTTTCCTTGCATGAACTACCAGTTTCAAATCCCCCACAACATTTTAATGTTCAAATCTGGGCTCTGACTAGACCAGTCCATAACCCACCATTACTTCTTTTTGAGCTTTTCTTTAGTGGAATTTCTAGTATGCTTCAGATCATTAGCACTTTCCAACAATTTCTTGTTAAAATATGAGTTTCGGAAAGATGGTCTCACATTCTCATAAAGTGCACTTTGATACACATGCTGGTTATATTTGTGCATTTTTTTATGTTGAAGCATGCACTTTAACACTAACTGATGTATGTGTTACCTGCAAATCCCACAATGAAATTTTGAGATTTCTGGAGACTTCTTTTGACATCAATTCATTCACTCTTCTCTAAAATTGCTGGACTGGACAAATTAAATCTATGCCACTTATACATTATTTTTCTTACAGCGAAATGATAAATTGCAAATGTTTAGCAATCTTTTTAAATCCCTTGCCAAAGGTAGGGATGCACCGATGCCATTTTTGTTTTTTTACAGAGAGTACGAGTACCAATATTATTTTTTTTGTACTTGCAAATGCCAATTACAGATCCCTGCCGGCAACTGTTTTGCTTACACTTCAGCTGTCAGCTGGGGAACCCTGCTGACAGCTGAATGAGTAATCGGTTGTTAAGGACATGGCGGCCTTGCTCCTTAACCACTTCAGCTCTCACACCTGTTCACCCCTTATGGACCAGAGTAATTTTTATATTTCTGCTATGGACCTGTTTAAGATAACAACGTAATACATATAGTTTTTTTTTTATAAAATATATAAAAATAAACTGTATTACAGCATGTAAAAAGTGTGCATTCTATTCTGTAATTTTTCCTGTTTAAAACTACACTAAAATTACGATTCTGGTTTTTTACAAATGAAATACATTTATTCTTTTAAATCTTGGACTTTTTTCAATGTGAAACCTGTAAATATATGTTAAAAGTGTAAAAATATAAAAAAAGCAAACAAAAAACATCAGCAGTAAACTCATAATTAAATGGAAAAGGAGAATAAAGAGTTAATTAGGGGTGATTAGAGTAAATTAAGGGTTAATAAGGTTAGAGGTACATTTAATTAAAAAAAAAAAAAAAGCACAACAACTTTTTTTTACTTGACAGGTTGATTTTGACTGACTTTATCTGCAGATCAAGTTCATCCCTTTTTTCCATCTGTAGATGAATAAACAGAAAGATACATGAAACCATGTTTCTTTTTATCTTTCTGTGGCTGAACAATGTTGTTGATAAACATTGTCAGGCTGATTTTTTTTTACAGCTCCAATTGCTAGGACTTGTTTACACTTCACCTGTCAACAGGGGAAACCCACTGGCAGCTTAACGAGTCATTGGTTGTTAAGGACGTGGGCGGTGGCCTTGCTCCTTAACCACAGGTAATAGCCAGCTTCTTTTTTTGTTCTTGATGGCTTTTTTTTAAATTTACATTTCAGCTGACAGTTGAAAGAACCGAGACTGAATGTATCATTTTCAGGTATCAGTGCATTTGCACGAGCACCAATACTTGTGCAAATGCTTAGTATCGGCATCGATACCGTTATTGGTGCAACCATAATAATAGGCATCCTGAACCTTCTTTTTAAAGGACATTAAAAACTGCTTCAGATCTTGGCATTATGATACCACACAGATCAATAGCAAAGAAACCACCTGGCCCTAAATAACTAAGTTTTACATGTTCCACCTGCATACTTGTTAAGAATGTTCTAATCACTGGAACCTGATTTGGAAGACCTGATTCTGATTTAATGGATTTGAAGTGGTGGTAAAGGTAGGAACTTTTGCACATGACAAATCTGCATTTTGGTCATTTATTTTAGGAGAATGAATACCCCAAGTAATTTTTATGTGTCACTTGATTAAAGCGCAGTTTCAGTGAAAAAAAAAAAAAAAAAAAAAAAAAAAAAGTCAGCAGCTACAAAAACTGTAGCGGCTGACTTATAAAAAATGGACAGTTACCGGTCCCTTGATCCCACAGCCCGTTTCACCGGCCACCCTGTGTTCCCGGTGCTGGCATCTTCACTGTGGGCACTGGGCAGCTTGCAGCTTCACAGCCGGGTGCCCACTGCGCATGCGCGAATTGTGCTACGCTTTGTGAATGGTCCCATAGTCTACTGGGACCTGTCACGTGTCTCAGAAGACTTTGGGGGGGGGGGGGGGAGGACAACTGCCTCTTCCAATCACCTAGGCAGTCGCAGTGGAAGTGGGAGCAGGTACCTGTCAATTTCGGGTACCCGCTCCCCAAAGGCGCCAATCCTTAACAGGGAGCGGGGGAGCTCTGCTTTAAGTATATCATCTTTATTTGTAGGCACTGTCTGAATAAAGATCCAATTTTTGCCTGTTCAAATATGTTGAAAGAGTCAACAATTTCCATAAGGTGTAAACTGTCACAGGATTGTGTATGTATGTATATATATATATTTATGTGTATGCGCGTGTGTGATTTTACAGTTTAAAAGTGGTATTATCATGCAAGTAACAAAACTATAAAAAATATAGCTTAATTATAAAGCTGAAAGTGTATGTCCAGCCAAAACCTTTTTCTTTTTACTGCAATCTGGGGCTCCATTAGAGAATACCTCTCAGTTTTTATTAAAGAGATTGTAAGACCTCACCTTGTAAAACAACCCATTCAATTTAAAATAGAAATGAAAGGCAAAACGTTTGTATATAAACATAAAAACCCATTACAAATACCTTTCCCCCCCCTTTTTTTTAATAAGTGATCACATACCCTCTGTTGTCAGCTGTATAGGAGCTGGGGGAGAAGAATCAGCAGCACACTGATCCTTCCAGTAAATGGCTTGGGGGGGGGGGGGTGTCAGGACAAGTCATTGGAGGACAGCAGGCTAAGCTCCCATCACAGCTAGATAACTGACCACAGTGTGTTCTTCTGCTTAGCGTGGTTTAACCACTTCCCGACCGTCC